GATAGATAGATAGATAGATAGATAGATAGATAGATAGATAGATAGATAGATGAAAGAAAGAGAGAGGGAGGGAGGGAAGAATGGATAGGCAGGCAGGCAAACACAGGCAGGCAGGCAGTTGTATAGATATAGATTAGATAGATTAGATATAGATAATCAATCTGATAACCAAAATAAGTCAGTTGGATGCCATATTTTCTAGGGCTACAGGAAGACCGTACAATTTACAGATTATTTACATGCTGTGGCCAAGACAAATTTCTCTAACTCTTGGGAATATCTATAGCTTTTGAAAACTTGCACATCAAGCAATGGCCCTAAATATTAGTTTACATTATCTTACATAATTCTGATTAAGATCCCTGGAGGAGTTTGCTCCATTCCAGCGCTATGCATTTCACACAGTTCAAAAATAACTGGGTGATATCTTCACTGTTCAATCAGTGAAACCGACAATGGAATCCAGGCACTTTTTTGAGGACTAATTTTCCCTCTCTTCCATTTAGGAAAAGCCCCCTCCAGTGGAATCCCACAACCCCTCCAGGATATTTGGGGCCACCCTCTCCATTCTGTTGACCTGTGGAATTATCTGCATCATGGTGGCAGCAACTGTCAGCTTCACCCAGGTTTCGCCCAAGGTAAGACGTGGCCTTCTGCCAGGCACTGTTAGCCCCAACGCTCAATTCTTTTGCAAGGAAGTAGCCGAAAAATTATTCTCTCCATCTGTCTGAGCAAGACAAGGCTGCGGCCTTGCAAAAACCATGCTGAAGACACTCTCAGTTTGAAGGAGGGAAGCCATCATCCCTTTGAAGAATGGATAGCATGCTGGGAGAAGGAGGAGGAGGGGGGAGAGAAGGAGGAAGAGGAGAGCCCTTTTTTAAAAAAAGATTTCTTTTATCCCATCTTTATATCTTTTGGTAAATAACTCAAGGCAGTGAAAATGCTTAATACGTCTTCCCTATTGACAACCCTATGAGGTGGGACTGGGCTGATAGTGAGTGACTGGCCCAAAGCTACATCCACGTCTAAGGCAGGATTAGAACTCGCCACCTCCTGGCTTCTAGGCCAGCTCCTTCACTACTACACCAAACCGGCTCTTTCTTCCTGTTATCTTCCACAGATTGTTCAATTTGTATAAAATATTTTTTTTTTCCTACCAAATTGCATTGATAATACTAGAGGTATATCAACCTTCGTAGAAGAATAGAGAAGACAATAGAATCCTAGAGTTGAAGGGGCCTTTTGAGGCTGTCCAGTCCAACCTTTTGCTCAGGGCAGGAATCCAAATTCTTTCGTCCCAGACAAAGGGCAGCCCGATCCTCCTTGTGACCCCTCTTGGTAATCGGCTGCCCTGTCAAAACTGCTCTTAATCATATAATGCCACTGAAACCTATGAGATTTAATCTCTTATTTTATTGAAATGTATGAGGTTTAATCTTAAAAATGGGGCGGGGGAGGGGAAATGGCATGGATCTGTGTGCAAGACAAGAAGGGCAACAACCTCCATGCACACAGAAGTCTGTACTTCCTGGGTCTGCAGTTCATTAAAGCAACTGCATCTTTTTCCAGGATCAGCTGCTTGATCCCAAGACAAACTACCACTGCTTTAAAGATTCGCACGCAATCTGTCTGCAATTTTTCAGTCCCGTGTGGGCCAGAAGAACTTATCAGCATCTAGTTTGAAAGGCTGAACAGTCCTACCAAAACGGAATAAACCCCCATGAAATGCTCAAAAGCTAATTATTATTCTTCGTTGTCAAACCACAGAGAAGTACTATTTTGAAGTCCTAAACTGGGAATAGGAATAGGAATAGGAATAGAATGGAATGGAATAGAATAGAATAGAATAGAATAGAATAGAATAGAATAGAATAGAATAAATTAAGAATGTAATGGAATAGAATAGAATGGAATGGAATGGAATAGAATTAAGAATAGAATGGAATGGAATGGAATTAAGAATAGAATGGACTGGACTGGACTGGAATGGAATGGAATGGAATAGTGCGCGCTTTGGGCACCCGAGTGCTGAAAGGGTTAGCCATCACTGACCAATACCATTTCAGACAAGTGTCTCTAGTCCATGGCTGTCATCTCCGGCCCAACTCCTAGTGGGGGTCAAAGGGCAGATCTGGTCTTTATCTCATGTAGTGACGTGGTCTGGAACTGGGTGATGCTGCCATCGGTGCCCGGTCACAGGCAAAACACTTCTGTTGGCCTTGAGTTCCCTTGGCTGCACCCTCCTGCAGGGATTTGGGCAAGGGTGGGATTCTACAGGTTCGCACCTATTCGCTAGAACCGGTTTTTAACATTCTAAGCAGTTCGGAGAACCGGTTGTTAGAAGAAATTACTGGGCTAATCCTGTAAGGAAGGCAGGAAGGAAACATTCTGGGGTTGCTTACAGAAACTGCTTCCCCGTTAACCCTTATTACATTCTTGGCAGGACTAGACTTCCTGTCTCTGGAACTTCTCTGGAGTTTTTTTCCCCTCCTTTGCTGGTACTTTGCTTGTGTGAAGGGACCATTCAAAGTTACAGTGGCACTGAAAAAGTGACTTATGACCATTTTTCACACTTACGGCTGTTCCAGCATCCCCACAGTCACGAGAGGCCAGGCGAGGAGATGCGTGCCTCGATGTGAGTGATATTGAGTTGGCCACACCCAGCCAATAACATGACCACCAAGCCACACCCACCTAGTCACATGACCACTAAGCCATGCCCACACCTAAGCCACGCCCACAGAACCAGTTGTTAAAAATTTGAATCCCACCTCTGGGTTTGGAACACAATTGTATAGTTCTCTCTCCCCTCCTCCCCCAGGCACCAGATGGACCCTACTGGGTTTTAAGGAACTTTGGTTGTTTCTGGTGCCGTTTGATCCAAGTCCTTGGTCATCACTTGAATGAGAACCGGAATCGCACCTTCCAGAAGAACTGATTGCATCTGCAGAAGAGATGCCAGGAGCACACCTGCAGTGAAGCAAATTCTACCCCATGCAATCCTGGCAAGGATTATTCTTAAGGATTATCTTGCACTAACAAAGATGGGGGTGATGGTAGAAATAGCTATTTTTTTCTGCCTACATCACATCTGAAGAGAACTGGTCAATAATCTGCTTAATTAGATGTGGTATTCAGCCGGTTCTGACCAGTTCTGGATAAATTTTGAGCAGTTCGGAGAACTGGCCAATCCCACCTCTGACTGGCCCTGCCAACCCCATCTCTTCTCTGCCTCCCATTGAGTCCCAGCTGATTGGCTGGGTCTTCTTTGGTTGCTCTTCAGAGGAGAACGGAGCTGGAAAGCAGGTTAGTGAGGTGGGGAGGGAAGGGGGATTTTATAGTATCCTTCCCCTGCCATGCCCACCAAGCCACGCCCACAGAACCACTAGTAAAAAAAAAATGATTCCCACCAGTGTGCTTAATATGACTTAGTTCCTTCTGGATAAAGGAGGGAAAAATATTTGCAGAGTATCATTCGTCCCAAATCGGTCAGTCAGAAAAGGAAGACTTGAATCCATTGTTAATGAAAGTACACTTTACTAAAGCCAAGTGGTTACAGAAGAAGCAAAACCAGATCTGGGATTTTCACGCCCAAAGCATCTGGTTAACGTTTCCCTTGTTCCCAACTTTCCCCCTGGTTATCTTTAAGCGTCCAATTAAACTGTTTGGGTAAAAGTCCCTGGCTTTCTAGCCTGGTTCTGCATTCCATTATGTGACCTTGGAGCAGCTGGCGGCTCTCAGAGAACAGCACAATGTGTAGTTTCGATTCCTCTCGTGCTAGTCCTCCCCCCCCCCAGCTTATCCCCCCCTTCAGTCCCTCCCTCACCATGACAGTCCTGGCATAGAGACTCTGCAAGGACTATTCCTGGCATCTGGGTTGAGTTACTCAGATTAACTCGAAGTTGGATTTTAACTGTGCAGATCCTAGGGAGATACCTGAGGTGGGAATCTAGCATCATTTTCTGGGAGGACTTTGAGCCATTTGGTCCTGGTGAAGAAAGCAGGATGCTTGGAGCTTGTGAGTTCGGTCATCTGTGTCTTAAATTGAGATGATCTCTCCAGTAATGTAAAGTAAAGCAGAAAGTGAAGGTGTCGTGGATTTATCCGCATCCTCTCCATTAATTACAATTCGGACAACCGTATCAGAGCAGCCTCAAAGTGAAATCTCACAATGTCCCATGCATCAGAAGAACATGGTGGACTGGAGGCTAAAACATACGATGAACGGTTGCAGGAATTGGGCATGGCTAGACTAGGGAAGAGAAAGACCAGGGGAGATATTAGCAGTGTTCCAATATTTGAGGGGCAGCCACAGAGGGGAAGAGGTCAAGCTGTTTTCTAAAGCACTCAAAGGCCAGACAAGGAACAATGGCTGGAAACTGAACAAGGAGAGATTCAACCTGGAAATAAGGAGACATTTTCTGACAGTGAGAACTATCAACCCGTGGAACAGAAGTTGCCTTCGGAAGTTATGGGAGCTTCATCATTGGAAGCTTTCAAGAAGAGATTGGACCGCCATTTGTCAGAAATGGTGTAGGGTCTCCTTTTGGGTCGGGTGGGGGATGACCTACAAGGTTCTTTCCAAATCTGTTAATCTATATTAATCTGTATGGGAGCCAGTCCAATGAAACCCAATGACAATTTCAGTGAGAAGCAAAACCCGCCTTTTTCTGCCCATCAAGAAAGAGCGTATGATGATGTACAATGTCTCGTTCAATCTTCGACTGTCCTGGCTGCTCAGGGCTTCTTGATTGTGACATGAGGTTGGCTATATGTTGATTAACGCTTCCTTCAAGGAGAGGGGGTGATCTCACCTGCTCTGAACAAGGTGAGTCAAGGAGCCATTGCTGGACACCCTAGAACTGGACAATTTTTTTATCTGGTCTCCATTTTTCTTCCTCCTTGGGAGAGTTGTTACTAGAGTGATTGGCTTTAGTTCTAGAGGACCCTGGAAGAAAGTGATTATCTGCATCCTTCCTGGTCAAGTTCAGCATTGTTTACAACACAGAGATGGTTGCACTCAATCAAATTTAATGGGACATCGATGGAGGGAACGCCTCTACACTGCCCCTCCCCCCTTGATTTAACAACAGAATTTGATGGAACTGATTGTGGTCTCCTTAGTGTTCTTAACAGATTGACTGAGTTGGAAGGGACCTTGTTGGTCATCTAGTCCAACCCTGCCTCCAGGCAGAAGACACCATATCATTTCTGACAGATGGCAGTCCAGTCTCCTCTTGAAAGTCTCCAGGGATGAAGCTCCCACAACTTTTGAAGGCAACTTCTGTTCCATGGGTTGATTGTTCTCACTGTCAGAAAGTTTCTCCTTATTTCCAGGTTGAATCTCTCCTTGATCAGTTTCCATTTATTATTCCTTGTCTGGCCTTCGGGTGCTTTGGAAAATAGCTTGAACCCCTCCTCCTCCTCTCCGTGGCAGCCCCTCAAATATTGGAACACTGCCATCATGTCTCCCCCGGTCCTCCTCTTCACTGGACTAGCCAGGCCCAGTTCCTGCAACCATTCTTCATGTTTTATCCTCCAGTCTCTTCATCATCCTGCTTGCTTTTCTCTACACTTTTTCTAGAGTCTCAACATCTTTTTTTATAGTGTAATGACCAAAATTGGATGCAGTATTCCTTCTGGATCAGCTTAGGGGATTGGGACCAGGAGTTGGAAGCTCAAGTTATGGTTTTACCAATGAACCCAACAAGGACTACGACTCCATTATGGCATACTTAACTAAACTTGAAGTACTTAAAACACCAGAAGGCCTTTAATTAAGTACTCTGGTATTCAAAGTACTTCGCTCCCCCTTCGACTGTCCTTGAAAGCCAATATTGGAAGATTCCTCAGAAAGTCAAGGCCCAACAACTGAGGATATGCTTCTAATACAAGCCATTCATACTAGTCTCATCTCACCATTATTGCATAAATAATTAGGCACGTAGGACAATTCTACACACACACATTCACATAGCAACCCTGCTATGACATATAATGTTGCCAGGTTGTGTTACCATTTGTTGGATGATGACCCATGCCATAAATTAGACTTAATGAGCATCTAGTTTGCCACACTAGAGTGCTCTGTAATTTGATATGGTCTTCCACATATTAACCTTTATGTTCCCCTACACCCATCTAATGCTCCTACTCCTTGTTTTTTAGACTCATTTTTTAAATATACACTTTCTGTTTTAATATATTTTCTACCTTTTCCTAGAATACTTTTTAAAAATAAAATTATGATGCTGTTTAATTGACTGGTCTATGACCATAATAAAGATCTCATTTTACCGACCTCAGAAGGATGGAAGGCTGAGTCAACCTTAAGCTCTCTTAGCTTTGTGGTGGCCTAGGGGTAGAGCTCTCACCTCACAATCTGGGAGCTGTGAGTTCAATCCTGGGCAGCGGCAGGTATTTCTTTCTCTGGGCACAGCAAAGAGTGTCTGTCTGTTGTCTATTTGTGTCTCATCAGTAAGATGAAGGAGGTTTATTTGGGTCATCTTGGCAGTTGCAATTGTTCTTAAACCCTTTGGATTATTGTTTACTGCCCAGAGTTCACTGCAGAGGGTTAGATGGCCATATTCATTAAGTGTAATTGGCATTAAAAACAAATGGCAGAGGGAGGCAGCCTGCTTCGAGGAATCCGTATTGGAAGAATTTCCAAAATCAGTTTCCAAAATACTTTATAGATCAAGCAATTCCATCAGCAATGGAGGATTGAAATTGTTGAAAGTGCTGATCAGCTATAAGGACAATATAAAGCCAGGATAATTAAGAAATCATCTCAAAATTATCAGTTACTGGGTATATTTCCATTAGACACTGCTTCCTTTCAAAAAGGAAATAGAACAATTTTCTATATCTTAATGCTTGCAATTACATTTAATATGAGTGCTTGGTGTAGTAGTGTGATGACCCCGGGCGTGGCACAAAGGAAAGCCAGACAGACAATAAGTAGAGGTCCCTTTATTAGCTCCAACTTTGCCCCCAATGTTCTGGTGACCTTCCGGTCTGGAGAAAAACTCTCCCAGGATCCTGCAACAGCCTTTGGCTGCAGATATTCCAATCCATAACTGTGTAAACAGAAAACTTTAAACTATAAATCCAACAAAGCAAGATAAGGTAATAAATCCAGCAGGGCAAGATAAGGAGTTCCACAAGTGAAGTAACACGGCAGTAAATCCAACCAGTTGGGAGGATGCTAGGAACTAAGATAACAGTAGCCAGCATGAGCAATGTTTGTTCTTGACAAACACCCCTCTCAAACTGCCTCTCCTTTAAACTCCCTTCCCAGATGTGCCTTGTGAAGGGAATCAGGGCCCTTTCCTCCCTCGTAAGCCATGCAACCCACGTTGCTCTCTTCTCAGTTCTTCCCTGTGTGCCCTAAGATGAAGAGGGGGTGGGCCTGGGTCCTCCTCTGAGCCCATCTCCCTTGTTCTACCTCTTCCCTGCTTGCCCAGCCTGACTTTGCCCTTCCCCAGTTTCCTCCACAGCCAAAGGAGCCACACTCCCCCTCCCTGTCAGCTGTCCAGCTTCCTCCTCGGATTCAGACTCTGACAGGGACATGACATTTCCTGAGTTCCAACCTGTTGTGGAAGAGAAGACCCAGTAATGAATTTTTTAAGAAACAATGGCCATTTAAGGAAGGAGGGGATGGCTATGCTAGAGTAGTCTTCAACAACATCATGGCCATCGCTGTTGGGCTCTTTGGATGGTCCCTGGAGTGCAATTGTTCATCTTCCTCCTCGGATTCAGACTCCAACGGGGGCATGACAAGTAGTTAGTGTGCCAGTGAGTTCGAATCCCACCTTAGACATGAAGCCAGCTGGGTGGTCTTGGGCCAGTCCCTCAGCCTCCTTGTAAGGTACCCCCAGAATTACATTAATGTCAACTAAGAATCAAGCACAACCAACTGACCCAGCTGGCTTCTACCTCCAAGACTCAGGATCATCTTGGCCCAAATTCAGATACTTCTGGAGAAAGCGACAGCAAACCAGTCCCATTTGCCTCTTTGACGTAAAACAGGAGTGAGCAGTTATGGTCCTTTTTCAATCTATGGAACTTGGACTCCCAGAATTCCTGAGGCAGCGTGGAGTTGAAGTCCACAGGTGATAAAGGGGTCATAGTTGCCCACCCCTGCCATAAAAAGGACCCGGGAAGGGGCAGGGATGGGAAACCTACAAGAAGTGGGTCTGATGTAACTTGTCAAAGCCCTCACACTGTGTGTTGTGTCATTATAGCCTCTTTCGCAGGTAATGCGATTAAACTTCCAGAATCATCCGGGATCCTCGATCAACCAGTCAGTGGTGGTCAGCAAGGCCAAGAAAACCATCACCTACTACCTCACGTCTTCCGGAAATCAAACCACCGCCATCTTGTTTGACTGCAAGAATGTGAGCACACAGACCCTTGGGGCTGCCTTTCCCAGTTAAAGGGGAGAAAGTGGATCTACCTGTGACGGTGTCTTATTTCACAAGGATGCCGGGGTGGATGGGGAGGGAAGAGGCACGTTCTGTGAACAGCCGAGTCTTCAGCCATTTTTAGGAATGGGCTAGTCTAGTGGAGAGAGGGACCAGGGGAGACAGGATAGCAGTCTTCCAATATTTGAGGGGCTGCATAGAGGGGAGGAAAGGGCCAAGCTATTCTCCAAGGCACCTGAAGGCCAGACAAGGAATAATGGATGGAAACTGATCAAGGAGAGATTCAACCTGGAAATAAGGAGACATTTTCTGACAGTGAGAACAATCACAGAAGCTGCCTTCGGAAGTTGTGGGAGCTTCACCACTGGAGTCTTTCAAGAAGAGGCTGGACTGCCATCGGTCAGAAATGGTGTAGGGTCTCCTGCTTGGGTGGGGGCGGTGGACTAGATGACCTCCGAAGTTCCTTCCAACTCTGTTAATCTGTATTGCCAAGACAATGAGATGTGAAGGGAGATGCCCCATTCTGGCAGCACGTGGCTGGGATTCTATGTTGGCAGCCAGCTCTAGGCTAGCAGGGATCAGTCGCTTGCCCCTCGATGGCTCTGGGCTGCTGCTAGCCCCTTCCTCAGAAGGGGAACTCCTTGGACCTCCCACTCCAGGACAGGAGCAGGTATTGGGTGTTCTAGAGTTAAGACTCTGGTCTGACAGGCACCCTCTGATTCTCCCACACCCCAGAACCTGGCAGAATTCCGAAACCCTTTTCCTGCTCCCCACATCTGCAGCACATTTGAATGAGATCTCCAATGGTTTGAGTTGACTTGGCAATTCAAATACAGATTAACAGAGTTGGAAGAGACCTTGGAGGTCATCTAGTCCTACTCCCCATCCAAGCAGATCCTACACCATTTCTGACCGATGGCAGTCCAGTCTCTTCTTGAAAGACTCCAGTGATGAAACTCCCACAACTTCCGAAGGCAAAAGCTGTTCCGCTCGATTGTTCTGTCAGAAAATTTTTTCTCATTTCCAGGTTGAATCTCTCCTGGTTCAGTTTCCATCTATTGTTCCCTGTCTGGCCTTTGGGGGCCTTGGAAAATAGCTTCACCCCCTCCTCCTCTCTGGGGCAGCCCCCCAAATATTGGAAGGCTGTTATCCTGTCTCCCCTGGTCCTTCTCTTTACTAAACTGGCCAGGCCCAGTTCCTGCAACCGTCCATCGTATGTTTGAGCCTCCAGTCCCCTCATCATCCTGGTTGTTCTTCTCTGCACTCTTTCTAGAGTCTCAACATCTTTTTTATAGTGTGGTGACCAAAACTGGATGTAATACTCTAGGTGTGATCCTACTAAGGTTTTTATATAGTATTAGTACCTCCCTTGACTGTATCTCTCTGTTAATGCAACTTAGGATTGTGTTGGCTTTTTTGGCTGCCTGGAAGGACATTCACTGATATAGAAAATTGATATCGCCGCCTGAGTCTCAGCGACTCCAGGTGGCTTATAGAAATAAGCCATTCTTGTTCTGGCTGTTTCTTTGCTGGAGCAAGTGAACCTCAGCAGGCCTGGCTGGCTCTTTGGCATGTGGGAAGGGGGTCTCCCAAGCTTGGGTTGAGGTCTGGTGTAACCCAGTGGCCTTTAATGCAGTGTTCCCCAACCTTTCCAGTTTTGTGGACCGGTGGCAGTAGCAATGGGGGGAGGGGGAGAAGGAGAGGGATTGGTTCTGCACCATTGGTGAGCAAGCGTATGCACCTGCACAGGTTGATTTCCGCAAGTGGCAGTTGCACACATGCTGCTCACACATTGCAGTCCGGGTCCAAACAGGCTGCGGACTTCTACATTAATGGACCTCATGCTTTCTCTGGTTCTCTGCGCAGAGTTACGTCTGCTATAAGCTGGCGGGACACAGCAATTGTTACCTGAAGAAGATGAATGCCTGGGATCAGGATGCTGCCCAGGCTTCCTTCAACCTATCAAAGCACAAGGTGAGTAGCCCGCAACAGCCTGGACTAAGAAGAATCTAGCCAATTCATCTGTCCGTCTGTCCATCCCTCCCTCCCTCCCTCCATTCACTCTCTCCTTCTCTCTCTCTCTCTCTCTTGGCGTGAGGGCTGCTCTTTGGGGCAAGGCACCCTCTCTTGCCAGGGCATCTCTGGGTGCAAGGGAAGGCTAGTCTCCCAATCTCCAGCAGGCATCTCTGGGGCACTAAATAAGAGAAGACTGGCCTAGCCGAAGGGCATAAGGCAACCAGTTTCCTTCTGCAAACGTTAATTCGTCGCTCCATTAATCAGTTCCGACTTGCCTCAGTTACTGAACCCTCTCCAGGTTGTGTGCAAAAAAAATCACCATTAAAAAAGGTATAATGGTGGAGAGATTTCTGATTAGCTGTCAGAGCAGAGCTCTCCGCGCACAGGAACAGTTTTACCTCAGAATGTCAGAAGTGTGTTCTTAGGATCAATGCACAAACCTCATGATTGCATCAGGGCTTATTTTGCAAGCTACCGCAAGAAAGCCAACCGGCTGGTGTTTTCCGCTTCCCCGTTCTCTTTGTGAGGCACTTTTAACTCTCTCCAGGTCTTGCTGTCACTTGTTCTAAAGCAAGGGTGTCCAACCTTGGTAACTTTTAAGACGTTAAGCAGCATGGCTGGCTGGGGAATTCTGGGAGTTGAAGTCCACGAGCCTTAAAAGTTGCTAAGGTTGGACACCGCTGGTCTAGAGGAAACTTTTCAAGAAGTGCCTGAAATCCCCAAAGAAGTCATTGAATCAGCTGTCTCCTGAATTGGGCTGGCCCTGGTTGACCAGCATCTTGGACCAGCCCTGAACCTCAAGCAGCCTTGGCTGAAGGACCCAAGGATGAAGCCCAAAACTTAACACCACTTGACCCTCATTGTGACATTGTGCACCTCTGCCTACAACCCTCCCTTGCAATTTTGCCTGCCAACTGTGGAAGAGAGAGACCAGGTTTTTTGCCAGGACTCCAAACTATCCAAATATTGGAAGCGCAATTTCTCGCTGCCTTCCAAAACTGAAGGAAATGAGGGAGGTTCTTGGCCTGCCAATGGGTTTAAAACCCCACTTTTGAAAACGTCTTTGCAACCCCAACTATGGTGTTACGGGAAACCCCTTTAATATGGTTGGCTGGCTCCCCCTCAGCCCCCTACCCATTGCTCATTCCTCAACGGGGATGCGACGATCAGTTTTATTTCCCCTGAATTGGCATCCTTCAGTCTCAAGAGACGATGGTATCGTGCTACGAAACCGGTCACTGCCACTTCCCGTGTTGTTTCAATGCTCTATGCAAACCTGGAGTGTCCTCTCCAGAGCATCAGGCCTGGGCGTGTTCTGACCCAGGCTTCGTCAAACTTAATAAAACACAGATTTTAAAAGTAAAACCTATTTTAATGTGATACTGGGAATTACTTGCATTCCCAGCCAAAACTCATTATACACAGTTCCAGATAAGAGCATGCTTATTTAGTGCTGTCGAGTGCTGCCAAGAAACAGAAGTCCAATTAAGGCTTAACATAAACCAACCCAAAAACCTAGAAAAAACCGATCAGAGTACAGAGCTTCACGAAGGACTCGGAGGTTACTGAACTGCTTTGCTTCCTGCAAAGCTCTTCGTCATTGAGGGCTGACTTCTATCCCTTATGGGAGGGGCAATCACCTCCCAGCCTTACTCCCAAGTTGCCCCTTTTGCCTCGGCTGCTCTTGCCTTCTAGCAGCTCTGCGCACACACACACTGGGATCAGGCTCCCCTTGTTCCTCTGCCAGACTCCAAAAGCTCCGAAGGCAGCACCCCACTCCCAGATGGTCCTGGCCCCATCCCTGCATCGGATGCAGGACCCTCATCCGAGCTTCTCCAGACTCCCCAACTGGTTCCCTTTTGTCCTCGCTGTCTGATACCTCTGCCATCCACACTGGCTGCCAGCGAACCACAACAGGGTGATTTAATACGGAGGATAAACTGTTACCCAAGCAGTAGATTCCTCCCTCTCCACCTCACTGAAATAGTCTAATGGAGAAACAGCAAAGCCGATACAGTTAGTTCCCGCTGCGTTGCAGCAGTTACCAGAATGGGACTGTACACAGTCACGAACTGCTTCCAGGACTCTGGCTCCGGATTTTGCCTCAAGGTTGACTCCTGGAGCCTTTTCCAATCATAGATACAGCCACAAGGCCGTGGAGGTTTGAAATTGGAGCTTCCCTTCTCCTGGAAGACGGTAGAACCATCCCCACTAATAGAAAAGCAATAGGTAACGTTTTTGGGGGGGGGGGTGTTGGCAACTCCTGGCTGGCTTAGGGCGATGCCCGTCAGGTGAGCGAAAACAAAGCAGCATTGTCCGAAAGGCTGCCGCCGCCACCACTGCAGAAGTCGGAGCGAGGGCGCGTAAGGCGTGGAGGGCGGAGGTCTGGTTTCGGGGAGACAGAAGGCCCTCTTTGCTGCAAATGCCAGAGAGAAGACGGGTGGGCTCAGGTTTCTGCTCTGCCCACTCAGGAGCTGGCATTCCTCACCCAGACGCCTCCCGAGGCAGAGAGGGAAGGAGGGAAGAAACAGCAGTACACCTGCTCACGTATCCCCACCCCCCCACCCCGATACCCAGTATAGGGTGGCCTTAGGGCAGGGGTGTCAAACTCAATTTCACTGAGGGCCGCATCAGGGCTGTGGTTGACCACGGGGATGGGGGGTGGGGCAGGCATGGCCAGCTTGACACACCACTTCCCAAACTGCTGGCAGGTTTCGACCGGGCCGAAGGTGACGTAGGACGGCCCCTTATGTTTTTCAAGCCTTGAGTGTCAACTCAAAAAACATTCCTGTGCCTGTTTGAGTAGTTGCCATAAAAAAAGAGGAAGGAAATCTGAAGAGAAGCGCAGCAATTTGGAAGTGAAAGTACATCCCAACTCTTTATCTTTAAAAGATTGTACCTAAACTACTAGAGCTTTTGCCCGCAAATATATTTAATTGAAGAACCTGAAGGATGACGCCCAGCCTTTGAACGTGCTCAGCTGAAGAGTCTGGTTTATGACAGGAGTCCCCAACCACCGGGTCCCGGACCGGTACCGATCCGTGGAACATTTTCTACCAGGCCGCCGGTTTTCTGGGCGCCACCATCTTGTTTTGATGAGAAAGTGCTTCCGGTGAGCTTTTCTGGTTGGAAAGCGGCATTTGGGTCCTGAAGGAATCCTCGCACCTTAGTTTCATCGAGGGGGAGGGGTGGCTTCGAACAAAACTAAGGCGCGAGGATTCTTTCAGCATCCAAGGCAAGGCGAGCCGAGCGACCGTCCCAAAGGCGTCCCGAAGCCCATCGACAAAGGTACAAAGGAGGAGTTGAAGGTGGCCGGGAGAAGCGGGGGACGGCTGGCTGGCCGGTCGCTCGGCTCGCCTTGCCATGTGTGCTGGTGCCGGTACCGGGCCGTGGATCATTTTGTGATGCCGGTACCGGGCCGTGGCACAAAAAAGGTTGGGGGCCACTGGTTTATGAGACACCCGGGGGGGGGGGGGAACAGGGTCACAGGGGACTGTGAATTATGTAGGCCAGAGTTGGCTTCATATAGGGCAGTTCCAGTATGTCGCCTCTAAGGAATCCTTTGAAGTTGGTTGAAGTTTGGCTTGAGAATCATGATTTAATTAGGGCAATTGTGGGAATCCTGACATTGAGTTTGACACCCCTGCCTCAGAGCCTCTCCTAAAGTGGCAGCCCCAGCCAAGAGGTCTCCAAAGTTAGCAACGTTAAGACTGGTGGACTTCCAACTCCCAGAATTCGCCAGCCAGATGGATTCTGGGAGTTGAACTCCATCAGTCTTAAAGTTGCCGAGGATGGAGATTCCTAGATTAGAGGAACAAGCAACCTCTTAGTCCCTTGAGGCTGCAGTGCCCCCTGGGCTACTCTGGCTTTTAAACCCTTCTGTCTGGGGGGAAGCAGCATGGAAACGGTGCAGGCAGGCTTCTTGAGGGGCTCGGTTCCCCCAGGGCCTCTCCCAGGAAGCCCTTCCCACGATGCAGCAGCCTGGAGGATTCTGAGGGATACAAAGGTTGAGCGGGCAGCCTGGTCCCGGAGCCAGGCTGAGCTGCTCTCACCACCCTTCCTTTCTCTGCCAGGAGGATCCACCGCTGCTTCCCAGCCACGGTTCCCAATTCTACCGGGAATTCCTGGGGGTTGTGCCAGGGAGCCTGGTGCCACCAGCGGAGGCAGGAGAGGCTGTCCGGGCTCTGTGCAAACAGGTGCCCATCCGCTGGGTTAAGAAGAAAGATGGTAAGTTGATGGGCGCAGCCGTGCCAAGTCCCCCAGTGGGGTCTCTGCTCCTTCTGAGTTGCAAGTGAAGCTGAACCGTAATTCCCCCGGTGCCAATCGGCCGTGCCAATGCTGGCGTTTGTTGGGAGCTGCTGGCAGCAGAGTCTCCCTTCCTGACTGAAGGCACATTGCAAAGAGCAGCGAGGGTGGGCATCTGGCCTCCCGTCATTGGCACAGGCGGTTGGGGCAGGGACATGCATGTTGGAGCACAGCTAAGTTGAGGTAAACCAGGCAGAAGAGAGCACACCTGGCCTAGTGGTTAAGGCACCAGGCTACGGTAGAAACTGGAGTTCAAGTCCTGCCCTGAGGCACAAAGCCAACAAACGCCAGCATTGGCACGGCTGATCTTGGGCCAGTCCCTCCCTCTCTCCTTCCCTCCTAGCCTTGGGAAGGAGGAAATGGCAAGGTACTTCTTGAAAACCTTGCCAAGAAAACCACAGGGACTTGAGCAGGCAGATGTCAGGAGTCGTCAATGACCCAAAAGCGCGCACACACGCACATACACACACACACACACACACACAAACCACCTTATACTTCGAAAATGTTGCAGGTGTCAGTGAGCAGAAGAAAGGGATCGAATCGAATTGAATCCAGGACCGCTGAAATTCTCTGCACTCTGCACATCCTCCTGAAACCCATGTAGTCAACATTACTGGGCTGAAGGGGATTCTTCCTCCCAGGGAGGATGAAATGTTGGCCACAGCAGCTTCAAATGTGAGAGCGTCAGGGCGCTATACTGGCAGAACCTGAGACCTAGAGCCCAGTCTCCAATCCCGGGCTGCGGCCTGGTCCTGGGCCGTAACCCGTTCAGAACTGGGCTGCGCAAGCGGCAGGTGAGCGCGCGTAGGCAGCTCCATTTGTGCCAGCGGTGGGTGCACACACTCGCCTACCCCCTCCGGGCCAGTCTACAAAGCCAGAAAGGTTTGGGACCCCTGCCCTCCAACCTTGGCCACTTGTGGACTTCAACTCCCAGAATCCCTCAACCAGTGAATGCTGGCTGAGGAATTCTGGGAGTTGAAGTCCACAAGTCTTAAAGTGGCCAAGGTTGGAGAGCTCTGATCTAGAGGGTCTTAAAATCAAAACACAGTGGGGGGTTTTTTCCCCTCCAGATCCCGAAGACGAGCAACCACCAACGCAGCCTGTCCCTGCCAACATTCTTAACATTTATAGCTTACCCAAAGGACTCTGTTGCCCCCTCCCACCAACAACCCCCCCCCCCAATCTTTCTACCCTCTTTTGTGCTCCTCACAGATCCTCCAAAGCAGCGGCTCATCTACCTGTGCATTGACATCTGCTTCCCAAACAACATCTGTGTCTCCATCTGTTTCTACTACCTTCCCGAATGAAGGTCCGAAGAGTCCCGGCTTTAGCTCGAACCGAATCAGAACCTGAGGTCACCCACGTCCCCTCGTGCTCGACCCGAATCCTCCAGCCTCCCAAGAGAGCCTCCCGCCTTCTCATCCAGGACTCTGGACCAGCCAGAAGGAAAAAACCAACTCCAATACGTGGTCATCTTCTGCTCGCCACTATATATATTTATATATATATATATACATTTATACACATACATTTACGAAGTTTGTCGCTTTCAACTTGTAACGTGTAAATAAGTGTTTCTGATCGAAGTAGATTTATGGTGAAGGTCAGATCCATACGAGCATTATGTTAAAGCCGCCTTCAAAACACAAAAACCATCATGTATGAGACTCTGATTTGGGATGTCAGCATGTCGGGTTAGAGCAGGGGTCCCCAAACTTGACAGCTTTAAGACTTGGGGACTTCAACTCCCAGAATTCCTCCTCCTCCAGTCGTGTGAGCTCAGGAATTCCGGGAGTTGAAGTCCCCGAGTCTTAAACTTGCCAAGTTTGAAGACTCTTGGATTAGAGAGAGAAGGCTGCCCTCGGCTGTCGAGGCTTCCCTGAAGGTTTGGTTCAACGTCTCCTTTTCTTTAAGCCAGATGACCCAGCAGGGTGGCCTGCAGAAGGGAGGGACGGAGTGAAACCTGCCCGTCCTGCAAGGGGTTCAGTGACAACCTTTCTCCCTTTGCCAGCCTCCCAAAGGAAGTGCCAGCTCCCCAAGGAAGCCTGGGGCCGGGTGGGAGGAGAGGGGCAGAAAAGGGGGCCTCGGGAAGGAGACCCAGCTCACCCCAGACCCAGGAGGCTCTTCCTACAGGCAGCCAAGACAAGGATACCCGTCACTGCCCAGGGAAAGGGCAGCCTCCCTCTTCTCTGCCAGCTCCACGCCAGCTTTAAGGGGGTGCTACAAACGAGGAGCGCCAGGGAAGCCAGCCACACCTGCCAACTAAGCCAAAGGGCAGAGAGGGCAGCCTCGGTCGAGCTAGTCTGGACTCCTCGGCAGAAAGAAGCAGTGGCTGATGGGGCCTAACAGGAGAGAGACCGGCTGGCGAAGAGGGGCCGTCCCAGCGCGCTCCTCAGCCCAAGACGCTGTCGTTGAAAGCCAGGCAGACGACCGCCTTCTGATGCCCGCTGTATTCTCTCTTGATCTCCCCCGTCTCCACACACCAGAGCCTGGCCAAGTTGTCTGACGAGGCTGCAGGGGGGGAGAACAGAGAGTTCAGGGGAGCAGCACCAAACCCCGGAAAGGAGGGACAGATAGCTAAAGGCTGGCTCTCCAAACTCGACAACTTTAAGGCTCGTGGACTTCGACTCCCAGAATTCGGCCAGCCGGTTCAACTACCGGTTTGGTGAATCAGATATAAATTTAACATCCGGTTCACGCGAACTGGCTGAATCCCACCCGTAACAAAGCCCGAGCGACCAGTTCATGGCTTGCCTCGACCACAGGAGCAAAATACGGGGCTGGCCAGTGAACTGGTCCTTCTTTCCTTTTGAAAAATATGGGGTAATATAGGCAGTCCTCGACTTACAACCATTGGTTTTGTGACCATTTGAAGTTGTCCGACAGCCCTGAAAAAGGTGACCTGTGACCATTTTCCACACTTACGACTGTTGCGGCATCCCCATGGTCACATGATCGAAATTCCCACACTTGGCAAACTGGCTCATAGTTATGACGGTCGCAGTGTCCCAGAATCACGTGATCTCCATTTGAGACCTTCAGACAAGCCAAGTCAACGGGGAAGGCAGATTCACTTAACAACCGTGTTACTAACCGGACAACTGCAGTGTTACTAATCAGACCACTTCACTCAACGGCTGTGGCGAGAAAAGTAATAAAACGGGACAAAAGTCACTGTTAAAACCGCTCTCTCACTAAGCAACAGATTTTGGGCTCAATTGTGGCCATAAGTCGAGGACTACCTATACTGCTCTTAGGGAGAACAGGTGTGTTCAAGAGGCTATTGAAGTGGCATCTCTTATTAGCTTAGGCCAAAGGAGAAAGGAAGAGGAGGATGTGTCGGCTCTTCCCTGCTCCAGGATGGCCTCTTTGAGAGCAGCTTCCTTGGCCAGGTGAGCCTGTGGGCTCCACTCCTCTCACCTGTGACAATGTACTGGGAATCCCCCGAGAAGGCACAGTCCCACATCCAGCCACGGGAAGTCTCTCCGGGGTTGTTGCTCTTGATGCTCAGCTCCGTCATCAGCGAGAAGTTGGAGGTCCTCCATATTTTGCACGTCTGGTCAGCAGAGCAAGTGGCCAAAAGCCTGAAGAAAGGCAGAGAAAGCCAACGAGCTGAAGGCAGGAGCCCCCCAGATCCGGCCCATTCCTCCAAACTGGAACAGGTTAGCCCCTTCTCTGGCCTTTATCTGAGGAACTGGAAAGTATCTTCCCACCTCTTTGGAAGAAAGACGGTTCAAGGTGGGGCTCGAGACTGGACAGACCAAGAATTGGCAAAGAAGATGGAAGGAGCTGCTAGATCAGGCCTGATCTAGCAGCCTCCCCCAAATTCAGGGCAGATCTTTGTCTCCTAATATGGGCAAGGCTTGGGGTTTTTCCTCAGATATCTCCTTTGGAAGGACCTACCTGTCTCCCCGGGTCCCCGACCTCCTCTATCCGCCAGCTGGCTCACCACTTGAGGCTGGACTGGGCAGGGCAGGAAAGAGGGGCTCCCTGCTCCCCAACCAGCTATGACTGATTTGGCTTTCAGAGCCGCTTTTACAGCATTGTAGCCTGAAGTGCAGCAGAACTTGGACAAGAGGATGCCAGGAGATGCCAGGCCCACTGCAAGAGGGAAATGCCACCCAGTCACGACCGGAGCTCAGCCCACATGTGGCAGGCCAACACTATTCTCCTTGCCCCAAACCAGTTTGGTCTGCCCAAGAGGGAAGATCCCTGTTTTTCTAGGGCCAAGAAAACCAAGCAACCTCACCAACTACTCACGTGGAGTCTGGGCTGAATTTGCACTGGAGCGCATAGCGGTTGTGTGCAGGGATCTTGGTCTTGGGGATGAGCTGGGTGACCTCGTCTCCAATGCCCCCCGTGAGGTTCCACACGTAACAGTTGCCCTGCAAGAGGAGAGGTGGCTGTGTTGTGGTTCACTGGCAGCGGAATCGGACAGTGGGGAAGAACGGGGACCAGTCCGGGAGTCTGGAGAGGACTCAGAAAAGGGTCTTGCGCCCGATGCAGGGTGAGGCCAGGACCACCTGGGAGTGGGGTCCTGATTCCAGAGCCTCCGGAGTCTGACAGCAGCGAGGCAGAGGAACAGGGGGAGCCTGTTCCGAGAGCACGTATGTGCAGAGCTGCTAGAAGGTGAGAGCAGCTGAAACAAAAGGGGCAACTCAGGAGTAAGGCTGGGAGGTGATTTCCCCTCTCCTAAGGTATAAAGGAAGTGCAAAGGTAGAGAAACCTTTGCAGGAAGCAAAGTCGTTCACTCTGTTTGGATTAAACCTTTAAGCTCTATGTGGACTTTGTACTTCAGTTGGTTTTTTTAATTCATTTGGCACTTTAGTTGTTGACAGCCATTCAAAGGAGAGAAAGGTGGGTGCTTATCTCAAGAGACTGGGACTTATTACAGGCTGGGAATAAACATAATTCCCAGCGTTGAAATAAAACAAGAGTTGTTTTAACTAAGCGTGTGCTTAATTAGTCTCAGGAAGCCTTGGTCATCACAGGGCTGAAAGCACCTGGCCCGTTGGCTCCGTGCCACATTGGAGACTAACTGAGGAACTCGGTGAGTCCAGGGCAGGCTGTCCTTACCGAACTGTTGACCGCAGCCATGTAGCTGGCATCCGGATCAATATGTACTGCGTTGACCGAGACTTCCGGCTCTGGGATCAGCTGTTCGTTGTGGTCTGTTTTTAAGTCCCAGATGTGGATGGCACCACTCTGGTCTCCGACAATGAGCTCAGCCTAGGAGGAGACAAAGCAGAGGAGAGTTTGGCCCTTCCTGCACCCTCTTCCCCCCATGCAGCACGAGAGCAGGGGGCCCTGCCTCAGATACCTGATTGGGATGCAAGCAGACGCAGTTGATGGGCGCGTTCACCTGGAAAATGCGCTGACACTGAAGATTGCGTGACCTAGGAAGAGACAAACAACGTGACAGGGGTGAGCCAAGGGATTGTTGGGGCTTCTTGCACTCCAGGGACCATCCAAAGAGCCCAACAGCGATGGCCATGATATTGTCGAAGACTACTCTAGCATAGCCATCCCTGCCTTCCTTAAACTGCTGCTGTTTCTTAAAAAATTCATTACTGGGCCTTCTTTTCCAGAACAGGTTGGGACTCAGGAAATGTCATGTCCCTGTCAGAGTCTGAATCCGAAGAGGAAGCCGGACAGCTGACAGGGAGCGGGAGTGTGGCTCCGTTGGCTGTGGAGGAAACTGGGGAAGGGCAAAGTCAGGCTGGGCAGAGCAGGAAAAAGGTAGAACAAGGGAGAGGGAATTCAGAGGAAGACCCAGGCCCACCCCCTCTTCATCCTACGACACGCAGGGAGGAACGGAGAAGGGAGAAACATGGGTTGCATGGCTTATGGGGGAGGAAAGGGCCCTGATTCCCTTCATTAGCCACACCTGGGATGAAAGTTTATAAGAACTGATGCTGACTGCGGCAGATGCTGACAGCAAACGTGACTTTCTCTTGTGTTGTCATTGCTTATCTGTGTTCCTGGCGTCTTCCCAACCATGTGAGTTTTGCCGTGCCTTCAAGTCTGAAATTCCTGCTCCTGCCCTGCCAAACCTCAGTTTGGCTTGTTTGGACTGAAAGTTACAGTTTGTGTTGACCATGTTTTGGACTTAATTTTCTGCAGCCAAAGGCTGTTCCTGGGAGAGTTTTTCTCCAGCCAGAAGGTAACCTGGACATCGAGAGGGCAAAGTTGGAGATAATAAAGGGACTATTATTGCTTATCTGACAGGGTTGCCTTTGTGCCACGCCCCAGGTCATCACAGGAAAGACCTTTTCAGCTGCAGATGCTGGATGACAAATGCCTTTGTCAGAAAAAGTACAGACATCTTTAAGGGGATACCAGAGGGTCTAGTTCAGAGGTGTCCGTCCTTGGTCAACCCTGCTTTTAGCTGCTTGTGCTTCAGTAGGCATCTGTCCCTTCCCGGGAAACCTTGAAGCATTCAGGCCCTCAAAATTCCCAAGGCGTATTTTTCAGTCCTACACAAGGAACAGGAGTTTACTCCTTCCTTCCTCATCCCTTCACTTGCTCCCCCTTTTCACATCACGTTGAGAAACTCCCGATTCAGAGCAGCATCTCTCCCCACCGGTTTCAAAGTTGCCCAGCCTCCCTTCAGACTCTTACTGACGGTGGGATGCACAGGCCACCCTGGCCAGAACACCCAACTCAAGCTGACACTCTGTCTGTGCTGGCACTCAGTGCCTCATGAGGCCCACAGTGCCCTTGGAGGGTTTCAACGGTCCTCTTTAAATGGTAAGAATGACCCAACTTTGACCAGGTAGCAAAATCTTACAAGATCTCTTCAACTGTTAAGATCTCACGGTTTGAGGCATTTGATTTTGTAAATCATCATTTGGTCAGTTTTACTCCTTAACCCATTTCCTGCCATGTGCAAAGGTGCCCATCATGTGGGCACAATGAGTGTCTGATTCCTCCTCAGTTGCCCCCTTTCTATGTCTGCCTATTCAGGGTCAATCTTGGGCTTCCCCTAAAACAGGGGTCTTCAAACTTTTTAAACAGGGGGCCAATTCACAGTCCCTCGGACTGTTGAGGGGGCCAGACCGGCTGGGTGGGCATGGCTAAGTGGTCCTGTGACTGGGTGGGCATGACCAATTTAGCAGTCCAGCAAACAATACACACAAATTAAACTTTAATTAATTTGTTATGCTCCTGGTGGTGGACAGCAGGTTAGTGAAGGGATGTAGCTGCCTTGGGTGGGTGGGGTGAGGGACTTGTGTGTGTGTGTGTGTGTGTGTGTGTGTGTGTGTTTCTCTCTCTCTACATCCCTCCCTCTCTGGAGGCTGGGGAAGCCAAAAACGGACCCATTTTTGGCCTCCTCAGCCTCCAGGAGGTGGGTAGGGACTGGCAGGTAGGTGGGGTGATATGGCCTCATGGTCTCACGTGGGCCAGATTAATGGCTTCGACAGGCCATATCTGGCCCATGGGGTTTGAGGACCCCTGCCCTAAAAGGTACAAGGTCAACAATAAAAGCCCCACCGGAGGTCCCAGATGCGAGCCATGCAGTCCTCGCCCCCGGTGTACATCCACCGTCCGTCTTCGTGGAAGCCAACCGAGGTAATGTTCTTGCTCACCCCATCGTAGTTGATCACCGGGTTGGGGTTATTGGAGTTCAAGTCATACATGCGGATGTGCTGGTAACCTGGACAAGAGATACCAACTAGTTTGTAGGGAGTCAAAGCAACAAAACAGATTTACACAATGGAGAAATAGCATCAGAGTCCTTCTGAACTCATATAGGGATTGAAACAACTGCTCTCACCAACCCAGAGCAGGGGTCCCCAACCCGCAACCATGTACTGGGCCCATTCAGAACTGGAAACCTTGGGGACCACTGGCTCAGAGCACAAGAGGAGTCGAACCACCTACCATAGTCAGAGGACTATGATAAAGGGACAGCATATTTAGTTTTGCATGTATTGACGGCTGCAATTGGAAAAATGTTGGAAAAATGAGAACACTCCATCAGATGGATGGATGAATTCAGAAAATACTAGGCTGTGCAGAGATGGATAGATTGACATTAAAAATAAAGGACAACGGAGACACAGAATATTACTTAACATGGAATAGATTTTACAAGTGGTTAGAAATAAGACGTAGAAATTAGATTACTGTTATGCATGAATTAAATATGAAGAGGGTTGATAATTATAAACATGATAGAATTATAAATACAAAGAGAAATTTAGTTAAAATTATTCTGTTGTACTATTATTATTATTGTTACATATATATATATATATATACACACACACACACAAACACACACACACACACACACACACACACACACACACACACGGTATTCAGCTTTGTTTGGGTATTTTCCCACGTCATTATAGTTGTGCTTTTAAAGTTGTAGCAACGTTTCGGCAGAATCTCATCTGCCATCATCAGGCTTCTGTATTGTGTTCGTCTTTAAAAGCACAACTATAATGATGTGGGAAAATACCCGAACAAAGCTGAATACCATACATGTAAGTACCCGTGAAAACTTAAGAGATATACATACATACATACATATATACACACACACAGTCTGTCTGTCTGTCTGTCTATCTATCTATCTATATTGTTTCTTTTCCTTTTGCTTTTTTGTAAATGATATGCCTTGACAGTACACTGTATTCAAAATGTTTATGCATAAAAATAAAACATATACTGGGGGGAAAAAAAGGAGTCGAGCCCCCTTCCCGGGCAGCGCCCTCCCCCCCCATCACAAGACACGCCGGCCGCTCCTCCCAGCCCCTTTTCCTTTCTTACCTGCCGCGGCCACCATGGTGCGGTCCGGCGTGATCTCCAGGGCGTTGACCTGCTGCGGGCCGGGGTTAAGGAAGCCTGGGGGGAGCCGGCCGAGACCCCCGACCCCGACCCGCCCCATCCCGCACCAGCGCCCCAAAGGATACCGAGTCCTGGTGCTGGACGGTCCGGGTGCAGATGCCGCTGTGCGCCTGCCAGAAGCGCACCGTGTGGTCGTAGCCGGCCGTGGCCAGGATGACCGGGTCGCTGCCCACCGTGCCCTGCGCGGGGTTCATGCTGGCGGCCCTGGGGGGGGAGGCAGAGGGCGGTGGGCGCTGGCAAGGGGAACGCCCCCCCTCCCGCTTAGGAGGAGCCCACCTGGCAGGGACGTTGTGGGCAGAGAGGACGCCCTCAGCTCCCCCCACCCCGAGGCGTTGCTCCCCACCCTGCAACCCCCCCCCGCAGGCAGAGAACCCCCCAGCTCCGCCCCCCCTCCCGTTTCCCTCTTCAGGTTGAACTTACCTGCAGCGCTTCGGTACCAACCTGGCGCATGCGCGAGCCGGGGTCGCCCAGGCGCGAGCATCCAACTCTCGGGTTGCGGCGCCCCTTACGCATGCGCGCGCGGCCCCCTTTTCGTGCCCAACTGGAGCGGCGACGGGCGTTTCTGGCCATAGACTCCTGACTTTGCCTCCTCCTCCTCCGAAGAGGGGCGAATTCCGGGTTCCTTTTCGGTTATTTTGGTTTCCGTCCGGTTTTTGTTGTTTGTGTTGCCGGGGGTGGGGCGAGAGGCCTCCACGGAGGGCGGGAGTTACAAGGGCTGCTTTGAAGGGCGAGTTTTGTAGCGCCGTAGGATTGACTCGAAGGCGCCTCAGCTCAGGGTGGGGAACCGTCCGAGGGGCGTTGTGAGGCAGTCCTCCAATGGAGCCGCAGCAAGGGACGCTTTTCTGACTCCGGGTCAGCACCTCGTGAGAACCCAGCCCGCATTCCTCGACGCCCCGGCTGAACACGACCCACTTTCTCGTCAGTTTTCACCAGGGAGTTTTCACTTGGCCAGCGGACACGGCGGCGCGCAGCCTCTTCTATCCTGTTCGTAGCTCTATCGCCTTACGTCCCCGCAAAAGAGCGCCCTCTGGCGAGGCGGCACCCGGTAAGATTCGAGGCTTTCTCGCGCGATTGGCTCTCGCCCTCGACTGGGCGGGGCCTCGAAGATTGTCTGATCCAATGTTTCTCGGAGGTAGGCGGGCTTCAACTACGTGCCTGTCTGATGAGGAGTTCTGGGAATTGAAGTCCACGCGTCTTTATGCTGCCAAAGTTGAGAAACACTGATCCATCCAACTTTCTTGGTGCACTGAATGGCCATCCATCCTCTGTTGAATCCCCTTTTGCGAAATTAGGCCTATCACTTCCTGTGGCAGCTCTGTGCCAGGTTTCTAAACCTGGAAATAAAGGAGAAACTTTCTGACAGAACAATCAACCCATGGAACAGAAGTTGCCTTCGGAAGTTGTGGGTGTGTCATCACTTGAGACTTTCAAGAAGAGATTGGACTGTCCTCTGTCAGAAATGGTGTAGGGTCTCCCGCTTGGGCAGGGGGTTGGACTAGATGACCTACAAGGTCCCTTCCAACTCCCATTATCTGTTATCTGTTAAACTTGACCATTAAGAATGAATGAATGAATGAGCTGGAAGGGACCTTGGAGGTCTTCTAGTCCAGCCCCCTGCTCAAGCAGGAGACCCTATACCATGTGAGTCAAGTGACTGTCCTTCTTAAAAGCCTCCAGTGATGAAGCACCCACAACTTCCAAAGTCAAACCCTTCCAACTGGTTAATTGTCCTCCCTGTTAGGAATTTTCTGGAAATTCCAGGTTGCTTCTCCTTGATTAGTTTCCATCCATTGTTTCTTGTCCTGCTCTCTGGTGCTTTGGAAAAGAATTTGATCCCCTCTTCTTTGGGGCAGCCCCTCAAATACTGGAAGACTGCGGTCATGTCACCCCTAATTCTTATACTTTCGGAAACTTTAAAACTTGTGAACTTCAACTCCCAGAATTCCCCAGCCAGCCTCTGGGGAATTCTGGGAATTGAAGTCCACCAGTTTTAAAGTTGCCAAGTTTGGAGACTCCTGCACTAGGGCATGTTTCCCGATGTCCAATCGAATTTGGCTTCCTTGTCAACTGGGCACTTCTTTCACGTTTTCTGAAGGCTTCTGACCTGGCTTCCACAGGTCACCTTCTGCTGGGAAACAGCTCATCTGGCTTCTCCCAGTTGTTCATCCTCCAGGCCAAACACATCCAAAGCCTCTTAATTTTTCTCAGTCCCTTTCCTTCCAGGCTGCACATTGCCCTCCTAGGTCTCCCCTGGACGTCTGTAGTTTGTCACTGTCCTTCCTGAATGGCAGGTCTCAGAGGTGGGTAGTGGTTTAAGGGCTGCCATCACATTTGCCTTGAGTTGGACTTCAATGTGTACTTTGCACCTTGATCATCCCAGCCATACAGTCTGGAACCTGGGGATATGACCAAGATGATCTCTTATCCCTGTGATGGTGAACTTATGGCACACGTCCCTCTCTGGGGGCACGCATGCCATCACCAGCTGCTCTTCTGGTTTCCAGCACACACATGTACACCGGCCAACTGGTCTTCATGGGCACCAAAGCACCGGAAAACAGCCTGAAAAATGGCCAAAAAAGTGAGAGCATTTTGGGGACCATTTTCCAGACTGTTTTCAGGCTGTTTTTGTCCTGAAAACAGCACCAAAAACAAAAAATGGCAAAAAAACAGCAAAAAAAAAAAAAACCAGGCATGCACGCAACAACCAGCTTGTCTTCAGGTTTCCAGCACTCCAGTGCGCACATATGCACTCGTATCCATGCACGTTCTGGTTTGGGCACTCAGTGCCTTAAAGGTTAGCTATCATCCCCTTAAGCGTAACTCATTGACCCTTGTATTAAATTTGTTTGGTGGCAATTAAACATCTTGATCGGTAAAGTTTCTCAGTCCTTTGAAAGTAATCAGAGAATGTCCCCTTCTTGTAATCAACTCTTGCAGCAGTTTGTCAGTAACCTTCAGGGTATCGAAGGGGTTGCAAAACACCTTGAGGTCATCTAGATAGAACAATCCTCTCTTGTAATGTACTGCCACAATTTGGCCATCCAGCCTCCATTTGAGCACCTCCTGAGAACTTGTTCTATGTTCTAAGTCTGACCACTGCAGAATAGCAAAGAGCAACACTATACTTCTTTTGGTGTGGTCAAGGATCCCATGTTAAACGTTTATTTGTGGCTGAATCACTCTTTTGGCTCCTAGGCAACTTGGGAGTCAGAACGATATCCAGAATCCTTTCCACATATGGTCTGTCCTGTGCACTTGTGAGAAAAAAGACTCACCAGTCAGAAACTCGACAGAGTCATGAAGTGAAGCAGCAAACAATTTATTATAAAATACGTTCTCGCAAGAGTAAGCGGCTAGCAAGTAGGCACACCACACCCAAGAATAGATTTCAACAGCTTTTTATCCCCTCAACCCAAAGCACAGGTTCCTTCCCTGCTGCCCGCTTTGACAAAGGCTACAAGGTCACAATCTTCTCGGGATGCCCGTTTCCCCTCTCCATGAACCTCCCCGTGTTTAACCTGCCTCCCCATTTTTTGCCCAGTTCCCCTTTTTCTAGATGACTTTTTTATCCCCTTTTAGATTTATTTCTTAATCTATATTTGACCCCCTCACATCCTGGTCATAAATTGTTTCAGCTCCTACCCTCAAAACGACGCTATAAGGCACTGCACATCAGAACAACTAGACACAAGGACAGTTTTCCCCTGAATGTGCTGAACAACTAATTCCCACAACACTGTCAAATTACTTAGTAAGACGGTATTACTATTACTCCTCTTGTCCTTCCTATTACCTGTCTCTTCCACTTATGACTATAACCGTGTTGCTTGTATCTTCACGATTTATATTGTTTTATTTGTTTTCCTACTATGATTTGATTGTGTATTAATAACATGTATGATTTGATTGCTTATAGTAACCCATGACTATCACTAAGTGTTGTATCTGATGATTCTTGATGAATGTATTTTATTTTTTCTTATGTATACTGAGAGCATATGCACCAAAGACAAATTCCTTGTGTGTCCAATCACACTTGGCCAATAAAGAATTCCTATTCTATTCTATTCTGTTCTATCCGAGCAGCATAGGCATAATAAATTGAGGCAAGCAGTTAATTTATCTACTATATGCTAGCAGCCAGATTGTTGTGGTTAAAACTGTCAGCTAATCCGTTTACACAAGTTGACTCGCCTATCAGAATAGCAGAGACCCTTCCTGTTTTCCAGTCTAGATCTTTTTGCCCTTAATGTCCCAATGTTCCACCGAACTTTTAAACACACATCTCTCAAAAGTTGCTTTATTTGCAAAAATAACACTGTTTCCATTGGTTTCTGACACAGTCACTTCATGCCTTTGATTTTTAAATGTATTTATTAAATTTATATCCTGCCCATCTCGCTGCCATGCGCTGGGTAATATTTTTCCTACACAAATAGAGAGCTGCAGATTCGTCCTTGTCGAACTCCATCTTGAAGCTACTATTCATTATTCCAACTTCCTCGGTTGTCTGGAAACTTGTTATGGACCTCCAAGGTGTTTGTCCTCCTTCCAATTTCCTAGACTGGAGCCATTCAGTGCTTTCATCCAGCTCCACACAGAGCCAGTGACCTATAACCAGCTCTGAACAGCAAGGAGGGAGAGCATCAAAATGACCCTGTTTGCATGCACACATAACGCTGCAGCCTCTATTCCAGGGGTCTCCAAACAATGCTGACTGGAGAATTCTGGGAGTTGAAGTCCGCAAGTCTTAAAGTTGCCAAGTTTGGGGACCTCTGCTTTATTCCGACCACAGAGAAAGTGAAGTCATGTGTCCTGAAACAAACAAAAAACAGATCCGGTGCCCTGTGCACCCTAAATGTTGTCATGTAGGGCCGGTATAGCTAGATTTAGCTAGAGAAACCCCATGTGTCTGAAAAACCTTCATTCTTGGGCCTCAAATCCTTGCCCTAAAATCCCTTGAAGACTTCCATAGCATTATTGGTGATAGCCTTGGCATCAGGCCAGCAGTTGTTTCTCTGTTAACTTCCTGTTCCTGTTGCAGATTAAATTATCTGGAAAGTTTGGGTACTTAATTACCAGCCTTATCTGTTAAAGTCAGAAAGGTGAAGGCTTTAATGTTTTAATCATAGAGTCATAGGAATTCTAGTCCTGCTTAAGGCAGGGACCCTTATTCCATCCTGCACAAAAGCTTCTCCAGTCCAGTGATGGTGTAACCCACAACTCTGGGAGGCAAGTTGTTCCACTGATTCATCATTCTTACTCTTGGGAAATTCCTCCTTATTTCCAAAGTGGACCTCCCTCTGACAAGATTCCACCCATTGCTTCTTGTCCTGTCCTGAGGTACTGTGGAGAGTAAATAGACCCCTCTCCCCTGTGATAGCCCTTCAAGTATTGGAAGACGGCTATCCTGTATAAAGTGGTGCCATCACTTTTTGTGATCTTTGAGGCTATCCCCTCTGTTGATGCAGCCCAGAACTGCATTTGCTGTT